AGGGCGAGGAGAAGGAAGCCTCAGTGCGTCATCCCCCTTGCTGCCTGCACCCTCCCACTGGGCTGTCCCTTTGGGGGTTGTGGAGGCTTCATTACCTAGGCATGATTGGTTAAATCCTTGGCCATTGATGGCCATAGGCAGTTGAGTCACCCTTCAGCTTTTGTCTCCTCCCCAGAGGTGAGTGAGGGGGCACTGAAAGTTCTGACCCTCTAACTTACACGGTTGGCTTTCCTGACCACCAGCCCCCATCCTTGGGTGCTTTTCAAAAGTCCTCATTCACAGAACAGGACACCTCTGTTCCTCTCATCACTTAGGAAATTCCAAGTGTTGTAGGAGCTCTGTGCCAGAAAGCTGAACGAAGACCAAATATATAGTTCTTATTATAAATCACAGTATCACAGTAGGTTTTGTGAAAATACCTTTTGGTGAGTTAAAGTAGTTCTTTTTGTTTCTAGTAGTTTGCTGAGAGTTTTTTATTGTGAATGGGTCTTGAACATTATCAGACTTTACCAAATGCATCTTCTGAATTTATGATTCAGAAACATGGTTTTTCTGCCTGCACACGTGTGTGTGTGTGTGTGTGTGTGTGTGTATTGCATGGCCAGACTTAGTTGTCATCATTGTTACTGTTTTGTACAGTTACACGTGTGTGTGTGTGTGTGTGTGTGTATTGCATGGCCAGACTTAGTTGTCATCATTGTTATTGTTTTGTACAGTTGTTTAGATTCACTTTTATTTTTCTACCAGTTACTTTGCTCACTGCTCTTCTATACCTGTAATGCCTTCTTTTCGTACCAGTTCCTTTCTGTTTTTTTAAATATCTTTACTTGGTTTTGTTTTATTTTTCAGCGAGGGTCTGTTAGTACTAAATTCTCTCCATCTTTATCTGAAAATACCTGTATTTAATGTTCACATTTGAGCAATATTTTGTTTGGGTTTTTATTTATTTTATTTTATTCTTTGTTATTTTTTTAACCCTCACCCAAGGATATTTTTTCCATTGCTTTTCAGAGAGAGTGGAAGGGGGGGGGAGAAAGAGAGAGGAAAATATCAATGTAAGAGAGACATGTTGATTGGTTGCCTCCCGCATGCGCCCTGACCGGGGCCGGGGATCTACCCTGCAACTGTGGTACATGCCCTTGGCTGGAATTGAACCTGGGACCCTTCATTCCACGGGCCAGATTCTCTAACCATTGAGCCAAACTGGCCAGGGCTTTGGTTGGGCTTTAAATTCTAGGTTGGCATATGATGTCACTCGTGTGTGGGATGTAAAACAGAAAGCAACAGACAATAAACAAAAGAACTATTGACACAGACAATAGTATGCTGGTTACTAGAGGGGAAGGGGGTGGGGAGAGGTTGAAGAGGGTAAAGGGGGTCAAATATATGGTGACAGAAGGAAACTGAACTTTGAGTGGTGGGGACACAATGCAATATGCAGATGATGTATTATAGAATTGTACACACGAAACATATAATCTTATTACCATGTCATCCCAATAAATTTAATAAAAAGAAAAAACTAGGTTGACAGTTATTTTTCTCTCAACAATTTGGAGCTGTTATTTGGGTCTTCTAGTGTACTGTTGAGAAATTCATGATCAGTGTACACAATCAGTATAATAGTCCTTTCTTTGTAGGTAATCTGTACTTTTTCACTTTTAAGATCTACTCTTTGTTTTTGTTTTTGTTTTTCTGAAGTGTGCCTATAATATGTGTTTATTTGAATTTATTCTGGTTAGGATTCAGTATGGTTCCTGAATTGGAGGATTCATGTATTTCATTAATTCTGAAAATTTTCTGTCATTATTATTTAAAATGTTGTTTTACTTCATTTTCTATATTCTCTCTTTCTAGAATGCTAATTGGAGGTATGTTGAACTGCATTTAAAGTTCTCCTTGCTTTTTATTGTTTAAAAAAAATACATCTCTGAGTAATGTCCTCAGATCCATTTTCCAGGTTTGTTAATTTTTTTTTCTATAGCTGTATCTAATTTGCTTTTAATCCCAATCATTGAGTTTTTTGTTTTTGTTTTTAAATATGTTTTTATTGATTTCAGAGAGAGAGAGGGGGAGAGGGGGAGAGAGAAAGAGAAAGAGAAACATCCATTGGTTATCTCGCCTGCACTCTGACAGGGTAACAGACCCGAAACCTGGGCATGTGCCTGACTGGGAATTGAACCTGTGACCTTTTTGTGCATGGGCTGATGCTCAACCAACTGAGTCACACTTCCAGGGCTCAATCATTGAGTTTTTTATTTCAGTGACTAAAATGTTTATTTCTAAATGTTTTCTTTTTTCAGTCTGCTTGATAGTGTCTAATTCTTTCTTATGTTTCCAATTCTTTAAGTCAATAATTATTTTAAACACAATTTATATAATAATATTTAATCTGATATTTCAATTATCTGTAGTTCTTAGGGATCTAATCCCATTGAATCTTGATCTTGGTAGATTATTTCTTATATGTTGTAATTGTGGATTTTGAGATTCTCTTTAGCAAAGCATTACCTTTGGGAATTCTCGGCAGTCTGGGTTAAAATTGTCTTTTCAGAGATTTTTCAGCCTGAGACTACTGTTTATTCTTGTGAATTGGCTGGGAGTTCCTGAGTAATATAAAATTTAAATCTCAAATCCACTTAAGGTTAGGCCCTTTGTTAGAAATTTTTAGGAAAGACAGTTTTGCTTTATACCTAGAGCTTAGGCCAAGACAATCTTCCCTGTCATATTTTGTTGGTGTTCTACCTTTTCTCTGAGGATTGACGTATAGTTCTCAGTTCCAACCTCCCTGTATCTCTCAGGTCTAAGGTCTCATCTCTGAATAGCCATTAAAACCCAGTGGCTTTATTACTAAGATTAGCTTCACACCCTGGCTCCCAGAGCTACTATAGTAACAGCTCACTTGCTTATTACTGTAGCTTAGAGTTCTTTCATTTTGGACTTCTAGGGGTTTACTTGCTTCTAAAGTTAGCTATGCATTCAAAAGTGCATTTGTTATATTTGTCATTTCTAAATTCCATCTCTTTTAAGAACTTTGTTTTGGAAGGTATTGAAAAATAGTTCAATGTTCATGATAGAATCAAGTCCAGAATTTCTGGTGCAGAATAAGCTAGTTTTTTTCAGATCAAGTGACCCCCTATAACACACTTTGAGGAAAACTTATTTTAACAGCCACAGAGAAAAAGCTAATATGTATTATGCTTAAAAGGCCTGGGACACTGGAGGGCAGAGATCAAGACTCAGCTGCTCTGTTGACTTGTTATATGACCTTGGGTAAGTCTTTAGGCCTTTCTGGGCCTTAGTGTCCTCATCTGCAGTCTAAGGGGATTGGGTTAGGTTTCTCCTACGGTTCCTGCTTTAAATTTCAATGGTTTAACCTTTTTCTGACTGCATGCCTGGGCCAGCAGTTTAACTAAGCTCCTTGGAACCTCCCCTCAGTCCCAGGATGTCTTGCC